TCTTCCTGTGCTTAGACCATTTCTCTCCACTATACAACGCAACTCCAGTCGAATAAAGCTCAACGACTGGATGCACTGGCGGCTTTGGAAAATCGTTAACTTTGTTTAGAACATCTTTGATGTGTTCTGGTTTTGTCACAATCACACCCGCTGTAGGTCCCATCCACATGTAACATGTCTCCCCTACACAAAACACCAAACCATTTAAAAATAGAGGATCTCTGTTTTGAGTTCAGATTAAAACCGTTAGCTTACCATGATCCTTAACGGTTTGTAGTATCATAGGCATGACACGTGGCGTGAAATCTTCGTTTAGGTTGATGGGTCTGGTCTTTGCTTGCTTCACCATACTAGCTTCCCTTATAGCGTCACCGACAAGAAAGGTGAAAGGAGTTCCAGAGAGACCTTGTCTCTTTAGATAAGCCTCATGCTTCTTTGGTCTAAACCAAGCTAGGTTCAGACCTTTCCATATCAAAAATGTTACCACCACGACCGCAGCCGCAACTGTAACCGCTGATATATCTGTTCTACTCATAAACGCTCTTCTTTGAGATATCTTTAGATGTGTTTTTCCTTTTTTTTTTTTACTGAAATGAAGTTATCAGATGAAGATGACATGTATATATAAGATAAGCAACTGTTGATTTCCTTATGCATCAAGTAAATCATTTGTGAGGCAGAGGAAAATTCAAAGAGTGATCTAGATTTTTGAAGTCCACATAACATTTTTTTATGTTATACTTTTCTCATATTCTAGTTTTCTTTCACTATGGTTGTCTCTTCTAAAAGACATCCAAAAGAAGGTAGAGTTGAAATTGGCTTTGTATTATAGACTTTTCAAGGTTAATAATGCAGCCACACTAGAAAACGACCTTAGACTTGGACTGAAGAAGACATTTCCCTTAGAGAATAGCGACAAGTTTCACACATGTGAACTAAAATCTCCAAAAACCTATGGTAATAAACAAGTCTTTGTAAGGTTTGCTTTTGTTACAGACTTATACACAGAGACAAACTTGATGAAAACATCATAATCAAAGCTTGTGGAGGTTGAGATGAGCTCCGAACTGAGGACGAGTGGTCATAACTGTTTGAGGCGCATGGACATAAGAAGGAGAGAGCTCAAAAGAGAATCTTTGCAGAATCAAAGCCATTGCCATTTTTGCCTCCAGCAGAGCAAAACTCTGACCTATGCAGATCCTTGGTCCCCATCCAAAGGGGAAGAAGGAGACCTGATTTTTTGTTGCCTTTGAGAGCCCTTCTCTGAACCGCTCTGGCTTAAACTCTGCTGCATCTTCTCCCCAAAGCTCAGGGTCACGATGGACAAGTGCAGTTGGTATATAAACCTGAACTCCAGCTGGAAGAGTGAGCTCTCCTAGCTTCATCTCTTTGTTGACAGCTCTTTTAAGCTGAGCCACTGGAGGATATAGCCTCAAAACCTCATTGAAGATCATAGTCATCTGTTTGAAAATCAAAATTTTCAAGTAAGTTTTGGTAAACTATGGATGCAGGAGAAGGTGAAAGATGTTTTACTTACCACTTTAAGGTTGCTAAGAGAATCAATATCTGGTTTACTATTACCACCGAGTATTTGCATCACTTCCTCTCGTGCCTTGTCTTGCCAGTCTTGGTGATGGCTCAATAAAACCATAGTCCAGACAAGAAGTACTGAAGTTGTCTCTTGTCCTGCGAAATAAAACAGCTTGCACTCTTTCATCACATCTTCTACACTCATTCCATTTCTCTGAGACTCCTCTGAGTTTGACTCAAGCAGTATCCCCAACAAATCATTGTTCACTGCCTCTCCAGCTTCTCTAGCCTTCTCTCTTTTGCTAATAATACCTCTCAGTATGATATCTATCTCTCTGTCTATTGCTTTCATCCTTCTATTGCTCTTTGTTGGGTAAAACCTACACCAAAACAACAACTTCTCATAAGTCTCACAGTCTTCATGATTTAGTTTATTAGCTAAACACTTGTGTGTTTATGTAACCTCAGTCCAGGGATGTAAGATTTCTTAATAGCTTGTGCAATGAGCTCAGCTAGTTCCCCTTGGAGTTGAAATATCCTCTGCCCTTCTTTATAGCTGCTTCCAAAAGCAGTATGTGAGATCACATCTGCAGTCAAATTCACAAGCCCAGGCCAAACATCGACCTCACAAGGCGAGCCTTTATCCGTAACTAGCCTCTCCCATTGGCAGACAACCTCGCTACAACAATGGTAAAACGCAGGGACCATGTTCTGTAAAACCAAAAAAATTGGTCGCTAAAGATCAGTCTAGCATGATTCAGACACTCAAGAAGACAAGAAAGACAAAACCAAAACCTTGATCTTCTCAAGGTGAAAAGCTGGGTTGATGATCCTCCTATGATTAGCCCATTTATCTCCCTTATAGCTAGCAAGCCCACCTGCTAACAATCTGACCAAAGGGAACGTAGAAGTCTTCTCAAAGTCATAGATTTTGTTAAAGACTTCCTTGATCTGCTCTGGATTCGTTATCATGATAGCTGGAACTGATCCAATCATATAAAGAAAGTCTTTCCTGTTCAATCAAGTCAACGTTAGATTCTACACAAATTCACTTCCTCAAGATCTGTCAAGTTCTAAAAAGAAAGGCCAGGGAGAGAAGCAGTACCGTGAGAGTTGAACATCTTCAAGGCAAGAGGAAGGAGACGTGGAGTGATGTCATCAGTTAGCTTGATGGGCTTAGATCTGGCCTCCATCAACATATCTACATTTCTCTTTATATCTCCGACAAGAGGAGTGTAAGGAGTTCCAGCGAGTCCCTGTCTTCTCAGGTAACTCTCCAGCATCTTGGGTTTTATCCAGACATAGTTCACGATCCGCCATGTCCACAACAACGCAGCTGCTGCAACCACCACCAAAGCTGCTGCTACTAATGAAAAAGACATCTCCAAGTTCAGATCCTTTCTTCTATCACTTGAGAGCTTTACAGTGAAGATCCTTTGCCGCCAAAGTGTCTTTGTCTGTACATGTCGTGAACGTGTTCTCCATCTGTTCTTATCTAACCGCTATTTTTTTAATCTTAAAAAGACAATCCACTAAACAGCATGAACAGGCATGCTTTAGTCTCTTCTTCAGATGAAGGGTAAGCGCGTGTGTTCCACACGCTTATAACTCTATGAAGAAACATAGCAACAAAGACCAGACTGAGAACAGAGTGTTGCTTGTTTTAGGTTTGCAATAGAAACATTATAGCAGCAAAACTTCGAAAATTTCAAACTAGTCACCTGATATTGTATCATATCTAAAAAACAACGTTCATAAAGATGCAAAAATTTGAAAATCCAAGAGAAGACAAACTCCAAATAGTGTGTTTGATCAGACTGAGAAACAAGGAGCCTAATCCGATGGTTGAAAAGGACAAGAAGAATCATGTAAGATTTTGGTTTTTATTACATGAAAAGGTTTGGCTTTGACGCCTTGTAAGTAGTCTTGAGCTTCCTGGTTGGTGGCCTGACCTTCCTGAAAACAAGAGGGAACTTGATCTTGGAGTTATGGAACTGTTTAGTGCTCTCTCTCTTGCACAGTTTCGCAGGGACTGTAGCGGTCTTGATGATCTGAATGCAAGGGAACCTCACTCTATGACGAGAAGCCATCTCGGTGTACATCTGCTCGACAGCACCGTTGAGAGTGGTGTCACGGAACTCCTTGTACATGTTGTGGTACCCAGTTCTGCTCTGATAACGCAGCCAGATACCGTAGTTCTTGATCTTCGTGGGGTTCTTCTCAAAAATCTACAAGACAAGAACACAAGTCTTATATAAATATACCATTTATCCAGCATTGGTTGAAATGAGCTGTGAAATGCAAATTATAATACCTCATTGATAGCAAGCATTTGTCCGTTGCTTTTCTTAACCTTCTTGAGCTTCCTCAAGAAGTACCTATGTACAAAGCAGATTCATTTACAATTTGTAAGAGTTGCAATAACAAAACAGAGCATCAAACAGGGCATGACTGACCAGAACTTGGACTTGGCACGGACTTCATTAGTGGCCCAAAGCTTCATGCGGTAAATCTTAGGCTGCACATCTTTCTCTGTTGGAAGGGCTCTCCCAACCACTTGATACTGGTGAAACTGCTCAAAGGTGACAATAAATCAATACATTATGCAACCAAGAAAAAAAGACATCAGCTTTTACAAACCCTAAAACAAGACCAAACACTCAAACTTAGATCATATCTGCTACTCTCTCTAGCTCACAAAAGCTTAAAATGTTATAATACTCAGATAAAGTTTCTTCCTTTCTCAACGAAGAAGAACCTATTAATCCCTACAATACATTCTCTAGATTCAAATTCAGTTCATAACTATCCAAGCAAGTGTTCGAAAACAACTCAAAAATCAATGAAGAATGACAAAAACACAGAATCACTCAGTAAATGTTTACGTCAGAATGAAGTAAACTTACACGGAAAGCAACCATGTTGACGGAGAGATCAAGCTCCAACGAAACTTGCCAAAGGATACTGAGAGCTAAAACGGAGGCGCTGATGACTATAAGAGAGCTTCTCTTGGACAAACCCTAAGCTGTTTCTGTGGGCTTCTTCTTTTCTACTTGGGCCTTGAATTTTTCCCTTTTTTTTTTACGACATGTATAAATTACTGCAGTTAAATTTAAATTACTTCAAATCTAAATTACACATAATTGATAAATCATTTCTACAACTTTGAACTCTTTTTTATATTTTTGCAGTTAAGTTAACTGAAGAGTTCTCGCCATAATCTTTGACGAAACCTGTTAGATTTTTTTTTTTTTTTTTTGCCATATTCTTTGAAATGATGTAACACGTACAGAAACATATATTTAATGACCATCCATAAACGTACTTTGAAATACTATTCTTTGAAATGACTATTAATACTATTTTCGCCATGTTCTTTGAAATGATGTTTTAAGTATTAAGTACGTAAACAAATCACCAACAAAATGGTACATATTTGACTGTGATTCAACGTCTAATGGCTAAAACATTTAATCAGAAGTCTAAATTGTTATTTATGCGGTCTAATTGTAGAAGGTAACGCTGCTTACACAGCTGCTTAGAATACTTTTTAGAACACTTCAAATCACACACAAAGCATTTATATAATTTTTTTTTCAGTAACAAATACATTTTACTATGGTTTGGAGAAGAACATTTTTGGTAAGTAAACAAATGCCATGGTCGACTGTAATGTAATCTTCAAACAATATACATTTGAGTTCTTTATGTAAACACACATGTACAATCTTCTTTTGCAGCAACAGTATATCAAACACCCTAACCGGTCTTTAACGGATTAAGAGCGTCGCGTCTGGTCATTTGACTACCAGACCCCTGATCCTCTTGTGGCTCCAAGAACGATGAAAATCGTAGCAATAACAGCCTGTTGGTTATAGTTGAATTAGTGTGATCAGGACTTTATAAGCAAATGTGTGTTGCTAAGTGAGATACAGTATATAGAATATAGACTTACTCCAATTGCACAAGCTATGTATCCTGGTCTCTCACGCTGGTTTCTAGAGAATAGAAAAAGAAAACAGCCGATGTACCAGGGGATGGCACCGAAGAAGAAACCAAGGATGAATCTTCAAAAAAAAAAAAAAACATATGTGTGTTTGAGCTTGACAAGAATGTAAATGATAAGAAAAGAAGGAAGAAAAGATGAATTAGACTTACAATAACCAACCAATGCCTATGCCACAACAAGGTAGACGATCGTGTTCTACTACTCCATTAACAGCATAACCTAGAGAAAACAGAACGAGCTTGAGAACAGCCAAGTGTTGCGCGGTTGCAAAAAATGACACAAACGTTTTTGAGAAACTAAGATTTAGTGATTCCATATGAACCTACAATCTCAAAACATTATAAGTGAAATTCATTTCAGTTATAAAACGTAAACGCTAAACCAAAAGCGAAACCTTCCATTGTGTTTAACATTTTCTACATCAAAAACTTTAATCTTTCTTACTTTTGAGCCTCAATTATTAGTCTCTTCTTTCTCAAGCGATCTACCATCTTGACTTCTCTCAAAAATATATTAGAGCACCAGCCCAAGCTATTGAATCAGGCCCAACAATAAAGTAGACATACGGTAACGGTAAAAAAAAGTAACAATAGGTAAAAAATTATCTTTTAGTTACTAGATCAGGTTCGAATACACTATACTAAAAAGGATCTCAGAAATTCTATACTGAGTCAGAGATTCTAATCCAGTGCGAATTTTGGCGGCTTTAGTGGAAGTAAAATATCAAAGATCAAACAAAATCATCAAAAGGATATCCTATAGAATAATTTAGAAAAAAAAGTAAAAAACCATACACCAAAAAAAAAGAGCTGATCTGATCATTTCAACATGTTGTCCATACATTGAAAACATGAAGAAGTAACTTACCAGAGACATAGGGCTGAGCTGGCTGTGGATAACCGGGGGGAGGTGGCTGCTGCTGCTGCGGAGGAGGAGGTGGATAGTTAGAGACACCTTGAAACGGAGGAGGATGAGGAGGAGGCTGCTGCTGGTGTTGATAATCAGTCGCAGCTGATCTGTTTTTACCGTCTTCTACGGTGCCGCTAGTCATATTTTATTTCAGATCAATAAACTAAAAACACTCTTTCTCTGATATGTATTTGTTCTTGATCTGATATGATGAGACGGTGAAAACAAGATTTCAGTTTCTTAAGGTTGTGTGTATTTGAGGTATGCGCGTGCCACGTGGTTGTTTCCGTGGTTGGTCTGATTTCTCTATAATTTGAACTAAACGTAACCCAAGGGGAAAGACTTGCTTCGCTGTATATAACCTTTTTTACTAAAAAAAAAAACACCGACGGAAATAAAGCTAAGAAACAATCATTAGACACGTTTAGATTTTCAGATCCAACTATAGTCTATAAATTAATATATGATAAGGTCAGAGGTGTAAATGTTGTCTATCACCAAACTCACTTCTTCAAACACAATCATATTCTTCGGTAAAACGTATATTTGTTTCTTAATGAAATATTTACCTTAATGATATAGTTATTTTACTAATATATAATTTTTAATGACATAAGTAAAAAATTTAAATAAATATAGATTGACAGATAATGTTATATGGAAACATATCAAAATGTAAGTCATCCATAGATTTAAGAAACTTGAAACAATTACTAAACACTAGGTTAGGATCCACGCCTTAAGCGGAATAAATATTTTATATATATTACTTTTACGTAGTATATGTTTTTTACATATTATAAAATAATATATATATATATATATTGATAATAAAAATGCAGCAACTATTACGTATATAATTAAATTGGTGTAAACATATAAATATTTTTTATTAATTTAAACAGATCTTTTTCTATTTTATATGATATATAATTAAGTTTAAATGATATTATCGTAGAAATAAAATACATTTTTGATATTGATATCGATTAAATTATAGTTTATACTTATATTATTTTTTGTTTCTTTTTATATATTTTTATAACAAAAAATTTAAATCATTGATAACAATTTTTTTTAATGTGGGATGTTTTTAGTAATTTATAATTTTAAAACATTATACAAAGTTTAAAACTAAATATTAATTTTTCAATATTTTTTCAAAATTTTTATCAAAAAAAATCAAAGCAAATTATAAATTAAAATATTTTTATATGGTACATAATTTATTTTGAACAATATTTATATATATATATTAAATGAGACTTCTTACTTATATAATTTTGTGATTATTTCTCTTTTTGTTATAAAAAATAATACGTGGATCACAAAAATTTTAATGTGAGATTTTTTAACAATTTTAGTCATTTATAGTCATTTTAAAAAATTTCAAGTACAACATATACGAAAAAATCTAATTTTTTATTATATAGTTAATGTAGTTGTTTAATTTATTTTAATAAGTTAAAATTTAAAAATACAATATTTTTTATCAAATCTTTATTATTGAAAATCATTAACTCTCATATATTGTTTAACTGTATTTGGCAATTCTGTAATTTTTATTTAAGGAAACAATGAAAAACATTAATAAATCCTTTATGATTAGTTTAATAAAAATTTATTATATATTTAAATGTATACATATTTTCTAAATATTCTAAGAATGATTATGATAATAACACGTGGCTACAAAAAAATGTTGTAATATTTCTCCTTTAATATATAGGGGATACTTTTTTTTAGTCATTTAGGAATAAGATGATATATACATATTAACTATTAATGTTTGAAGATTATATATATCAGTGTTTATTTATATAGATTAACAGATAATGTTATATGGAAACATATCGAATTGTAAGTCATCCATAGATTTATGAAACTTGAAACAATTACTAAACATATATATTTTTTTAGTCATTTAGGAATAAGATGATATATACTCCCTCCGTTTCAATTTAGTTGTCATTCTAGGTTTTTGCACACAGATTAAGAAAACAATTAATTTTATATATTTTTAAAATAAAAACACAATTACCTATACACCTAACCACTTTTCAACCAATAAAAAATAGAAAGACTTTTAAAATCAATAAATTTTGCATTGAAATTATAAAATGACACTTATTTTGAAACGAAAATTTTACTCTAGAATGACATTTTATCTGAAACGGAAGGAGTACATATTAACTATTAATGTTTTGGAGATTATATATATCAGTGTATATTTATCTAGATTGACAGATAATGTTATGTGGAAACATATCAAATTGTAAGTCATCCATAGATTTACGAAACTTGAAACAATTACCAAACATAATTTTTTAGTCATTTAGCGATAAGATGATATATTTACATATTAACTAACTATTAATGTTTTGAAGATTATATATATCAGTGTTTATTGTCACTGATCATATATTAATGTTTCATTTTGTAATGAGTAGGACCCCGTTGTGTCGGTTCATATCAACTCCTTTCTTTAGGATCTTTTTATTCACGATATGACATCATTGGCATGAACCATCATAGCAGTTCTAATTGTATATCCTCACACGTGTTGGACACGCTTGCTCACTTTCAGGCGGTTGATGCGTTTCCCCTTTAGCAGGAGATGATGGTTTTTTCTCTTCCAAAAAGTCTTGTTTCTGTAGAACCGAAATACAAAACGGTACCGTCTTGAGCCGTTAAGTAGACTTTCGTTGTCATTCCCTCTCGGTCCCACTTAACTAATCAACCACCAGATGAAAGAAACATATATAAAACTGCAACCGTTCTTTCGTTGACCTTTTTTTGTTCAACACTCCATCTTCATGAAGAACTTCGAGTCGATTCAGATGGTTTCGTTTGATGAGATTATAATTTGATCTCCTTGGTTAACAAGACAAAAGCAACAATTACTTGTGTGTGTTTCGTGGAACAAATGGAGTGTTCTGTATTCCATCATGTGGTCATTGTGTTGTTGTTCCTTTGGATTCTTTCTTACTTGAATCGACCACACTCCCTTTTCTATCTCCTCTCTATGCTATATCTCTACTTGGTATAGTTTCTTTTGCTCCTCTCCATCTCTGTGTGGTTGACTTATGTTTCCTCTTGGGTTTGTTAAAGCCTTTGGTTGTTCGTTTGTTTTGGTGGGTTTCTTTTAGGTTCATAAACGTTATGTGATGAGATTGAGGAGGAAGTTTCAGTTTCAAGAGACGAAGCAAGCTAACCAGAGACGGGTAGTCTTACTTTTTACTTCCTTGGAGTAGAAGTTATTTCATGTTCATGTTCTATCCCTTTAGGGTTTTCATTTTTGTACTGAAAGATGCTGACTTTGGGTTTGTTAGGTCCTATCCGACTCTGAATCAGTCCGGTGGCTGAATCATGCTGTGGAGATGATATGGCCGATTTGTATGGAGCATATTGCGTCTCAGAAGATTCTGCGACCGATCATACCTTGGTTCCTGGAGAAATATAAACCTTGGACCGCGGTAAACCCTACAAATCTTTTACTCTTTCGTTTCTATTTGTCTACAGTAAGGCATTTTGAATATTTGTTTGGGGTCTAAGGAAATAACTAGGCTACTTACTGTATTACAACCACTAAGTATAATTGATGGTATGATCATTTCTGCAGAAAGAAGCTTTGATAGAACATCTCTATTTGGGAAGAAGCCCACCTTTGTTGACTGGTATAAGGGTGCTTAGGCAATCTACTGGAGATGATCACTTGGTATAGTTGCTAAAAAGCTTTGGTTTTCATCATAGCTTTCAATATGGTGACATCTGGTGTTTATAATATCAATAGAGGAAGTACAACTTATGCTGGAGTGCGTATACAGGTACTGGAACTTGGAATGAACTTCCTCACAGCAGATGATATGAGTGCAATACTGGCAGTGAAACTAATAAAGGGACTTGGTTTTGGAGTGTGGACAAAGTTACATCTGACAGGAATGCATGTCGAAGGAAAGGTAATGAGTTTTCTGTGGTTTATTCATATTCTTAAACACTCTTAAGTGGAGTACTTTGCCTCATTCAGTGTACCATTAACCATTGAAGGTGTTGATTGGAGTGAAGTTTCTTCGTCGATGGCCGTTTCTGGGGCGTTTACGCGTGTGTTTTGCTGAACCACCTTATTTCCAGATGAATGTAAAACCAATCATCACTCATGGACTTGATGTTGCTGTGCTTCCAGGGATTGCAGGATGGCTAGTAAGTATTAAATCCTGATGAACTTTTAAACTTAAATAGTGTAGAAACTCTCACCAGCATTGTTATTACTTTCTCATTCAGGACAGTCTCCTGTCTATTGCATTTAAGCAGACTCTTGTTGAGGTAAGGTTTCCCTCATGTACCTAAGCAAACATAAACGTTACAATGAAGCCAGCTAAATGAAGCTTGTGTCTAACTAACTTGCAGCCAAATATGCTTGTAGCTGATATGGAAAAACTTATTAGCCCACAATCAGGAGGTAGGATGTTCAGAATCCATGAGTCTTCTTTACTTACTGTTACTCCTTTTGATTGGTTCCTCGATGTTATCAACATCTCTGTAACAGTCCTTATGATTACATTGTTTGCTTGCAGAAAACTGGTTCTTTGTTGATGAGAAAGAACCAGTTGCATACGCTCTTGTTGAAGTTGTTGAAGCATCTGATGTTAAACCATCAGATCTAAATGGTTAGTCCTGGACATTACTGAACTAACGGCTAGTTAGTTTCCTCCACTATAGTAACTTTGAACGGCATTTAACGAACTGCTTGGATTTGGATGCTTCAGGTTTAGCTGATCCTTATGTGAAAGGGCAGCTTGGCGCTTACAGATTCAAAACCAAGATACTAAAGAAAACATTGGCTCCAAAATGGCAAGAAGAGTTCAAGATACCAATCTTGACATGGAACTCTCCAAATATACTCAACATTGAAGTACAAGACAAAGACAGATTCAGCGATGACAGACTTGGTGATTGTTCAGTAAACATTGCAGAGTTTAGAGGTGGGCAAAGAACTGATATGTGGTTGCCTCTTCAGAACATCAAAATGGGGAGGCTGCACCTTGCCATTACCGTAACTGAGGATGAACCAAAGGTAGAATTGAGCTGCTGTCTATATTCATGAACACAGAGTTTCATTAGTAAGTCTTAAGCAATGTGCATCTGATTCTTTTACAGTGGAGTGATGACCTGTTTGAAGGAGTAACAGTAAGTAAAGAAGATATGTGGGCTTCTTTTGCTTGTGACGATGCAAATAAAGGTTCCTTGACATCTTGTAAGTCTCCAAGTGTTCTTGATAATTTGGAACCAATTAACATTGAAGGACAAGAAGAGACAGGGATATGGATACATCAACCAGGAACTGAAGTCTCACAGATTTGGGAACCAAGAAAAGGCAAGAGTCGATGCCTTGATAGCCAAGTACGTGGA